CAACGTGGTTAGTTTGCACTCATTTTTAGCGAGTGCATCGGACAAGTGCTTTAATCCTTCATCATCTATTCGGTTGCTACACATGTTCAAGCTGGTTATTTTGCACTCATTTGCATCAGAAGACCCTGACATCTTCAGTAGCTTATACATCTCCTTACACCCTATAGATGTAATGTTGTTCCCAGCTACACTTACACTTACAATACTCTTTATCTCTTGTAAAATGAACACTATCGCTGTCATATCTGCATCAGTTAATGACGCGTGTCCCAGGTCTACGTCGAATACACCAAACAAGGTGTTTGCAACCAAACCTTTCCATTGATTATTTGAGTGTCTTGAAATCTCAAATATGCACTTAAAAAGTCTGATCACTAGTTCCTCTTGTTTACCATATGGCCAGCTTGCTTCACCAGACATGATTGGCCGTGGTAACCTTCTAATAAATATCTCCACTATAGAGCTATGATCTTCATGATGAGCCAACCCAGCAATAAACTGCATCACTACTTCCCACTTGCCTTCATGCAGATGTTCAGAAATCCAGCTTTGCAGTACTTCTACATTTCTCCCCMTTACGATGTATCTTGCAGCCAGAAGTTCTTGAATCGTTAAGTGGAGGAAGCAGTATTGTTTTTTGTGTACGATAATATTAAACTGTTGGTTGGGCAGCYGATGAAGCAGACCACTTTCTTCATGTCCCTTGACTTCATTCGATTCAAAAATCAGTCTATCCTCTTCGATTCCTTTAAGAGCTATTTCCCCTAAATTTTTCAAAGATGTTTCTACTTCAGGAGCGAATTCARGTGAGGACAACAGGTTTTCTTGTTCAGGAAGGCTGCAGCGATATTGTGGGTTGTGTTTGCAGACAATAAGCACTAATGCATATTTGTAAATTTCAGTGAGTGTAGTTSGCAAATTTTCCAAACCATTGTCTTCATCTCGTTTTAGTCTTTCTTGTAATAAAAAGCACACAATGTGACAATTTACAGGAATGTAGCATAATGAAAAAATGTCTGCATTGCTGCTAATGTGATTCCATAATTTCTGTTTTACAGTAGAGTCTTGACAAAAGCTTTCCACATATTTTTCTATTTGCTTTGAAATGAATCCCAGAATTTCCAAAGTTCGGTCAAAAGTTTTATTTGGAAATGACACATAAGAAAGAGCTGTTGGTCTTGAGGTAGTTACAACTGTAGCTCCTTCAAATAGTTTTCCTGATGCTAACTTTGAATACAGTGCTGAAAATGGAATTGTCTCTGCAAGAGTGCTCCCATATTCGTCTTCTTTAACAATGTTTTCTTTCTTTCCAAATTCATCAAGACCATCGAAAATAAGCAACACTTTTTCTGGGTGGCTTAGTATACAGGAGTAGACCTCATTAGGAAACGCTCCCGAGAACTGACCTCTTCCAAGCAGTTGCTGAAGATTTATTTTCTCATCACTGTTGAAATGCCTAAATTTGAAAAGATAAACAAATTYAAAACATTTCCATCCTGTTTCCTCGTTAAAGATTTTTCCACAGGCCCAGTCACGAAGGATCTTCCGACATAACAAGCTCTTGCCAATACCCGGTCGACCAACGATCATGATAGAGAGAGGTCTTTCTAGTGGTTTTTYTGGTTCTGGTGCAAAAATGTTTTCAATCTTATTTATGGACTGGTGGTRTTCTTGTGACCTTAYGTATCCTTCGAATATCTCGTGTCTTTTACCTGTAAATTTATATTTTGCTCTTCCAGGGTACATGATCAGATTGGTGTAAATTTGGTCAAATTCTAGCGATTTTCTCTCTTCACCAGGAGTGTTTGGAAGAAGGAGTTCATAAAACGTTGTGTTCTTCTTAATATTTYCCTTCATTTTCGCTACGTAATTTTCAATGACCTTGTCTTTGTTTAGSARATGACYATTGAAAAACTCTAAATCGTTCCTAAAATTATCATTGACTCTAGCGTTGTTCCTGACATATATTAACTCCAGAAGAATAGCAACAGTAAGTAAAACGTTGACTATAAAAATTATAATGTTCGAGGTAGTTTTGTTTATTGCTTGTGTATTATTACAATCGTACAAAGACCGTGTGACATTTGCTGCATCGCTGCTTGTGCTATTCGTATGTTTTGTTTCACGATCGCTCGACAAATCACAGGCGTACTCGGAAGGGAAGCTGAGTGGATAGAAAACTCCCCATTGTAGAATAAGAAATACCAGGCCTTGAATAAATCTAGTAAAGAGTTGAATGCAATACCTACGATATAGACGAGTAGATTGGTTTGTTTGCATTTCCAGGTCTTCGCGTTCGAGGTCTTTCACTATTGATCGAACAGAAAAAGAGTAGCAGAGGCACACCATTATAACCAAAATGAAGTTTGAAAGCACAAAGAAACTAATTGCCAGACCTCTTGTGTTTTTGGCTTGGTAGTCAGCAAAGCACGCGGTTTGGCAACTAAAATACCTTTGTTCTTTGTCTTCGATGTTAATGGCGACTCCAAATAGAATGATTCTAATAACCACCGATCCAATCATCGCAAAGAAGCCTAAAGGGCTAAAATGTTTAGGAGGAAGAAACTCCTTAATTGTATCCATGGTATGTGGACGTTTAAAGCAGCAAAGAGGAACAACAGCCGTAACTGAGCAAAATTAAGCTTGGAAATCTGATGAGTGTGGGTGTGATTCAACCTTGTTCCCAGGGCCCTCTCGGCCGACTCCAATTCAATATGGCGGTCGTCGGGGAGAAGACCCTGGTGTTGGCTGGTATCACGTGATCAAAATCTCCAAGATTTCGATCACGTGGTTTTCGTTTCAAAATGGCGGCCAAGCTACTATTTCAAATCATGTAAATGTAGGAAAAAAGGCATTTCTTCGTGGGTATGCATACATACATACATACTTTATTACTTCATCCCTTTACAGGGCTTTTCAGAAGCATTGACAAATAAAGAATACAATATGATATAAAAGTTAAATATAAATACAAGTATAAGCATAAATCAAATAAGGTAATCACATTTGTCACCCTTTTGTGCACCCCTCTTTGGGCTATCCTTTTTTGGGGTAGACATTAACTTCATAACTTGTAAAAGTTCTTTTTCATGATGATTACTGTTTGCAATATTGCATTACACTATTAATGAGGATTTCTCATACTTGTATGAGTGGCCAGGTTGGAGAAAAAGTATTACATAAAACAACAGGGGGGAATATAAATTAAAGTTCAGCTATCCCATATAAAGACTTGTCTAACCCTTACATGTAAGAACTTCAATGCCTTCTAAAATAATCAGGTCACTTGAATAATTAGACAAATGAAAGTTACTAGATAGTTACTCTGACAACAATAATAATTATTGCTATCTTGCAGCTGAACCAATGACTGACTTACAGTTACAGCAATAAATAAGTTTAGATTAAGGATTTTGAATGAATGACAAATGTTCTTATACATACATATTTCTTCTTTCACGGGTTCTTTCAGCATTGCCAGTTAGCAATGTTAGTTTTTTAGCAGGTTTTTTTAACACCATCAACATTTATTACTTCAATACTTTATTTATTTACGATATTACTGTAAATTCATTACAATAAATATACAACTACACTTTATAATTCTCATATTCATATAATTGAGAGTATGTGGTATATGTATGTGGTGTATGTGGTATATTCATATAATTATTAAGGCAACAGACAACTTAAACGACTGAAAATGTAAACTTCATTGTTCAAGTCTGCTTTGTTTCATGACAGTTTTTAACATCGAACTAAGCTGTACTAATCATTAAAACCTTGTATGCGCCATTTAGGATATCAGTAGAAGCTGTTAGGTCAGTTCTCTTCCTTTTTAAATCATAATCAACGCGACTTTTTTTGAATGATTCATCCAGGAACAAAACAAGAGAAATATGAGTAGTACGCCATCTTGTACTATACAATATCAACCAATCAAAGGGCTTTTAAGAATTTTTTTCAGTAGCCAATCAAAACGCGCGATATACCAGCCAACACCAGGGTCTTCTATTCTCCCCGACGACCGCCATATTGAATTGGAGTCGGCCTAGAGGGCCCTGGGAACGAGGTTGGGTGTGATTTAAGTCTTCGGCCCGTCTGTAGCCGTACTTAGCACTATTGAGGCGTGACGACGCTAAAAACGGCTGCGCGACGCTCTGCGGGGGAGACTATTATGATTTCCATTTCGCGACTCGCTCACCATTTATTTGAAGATTTCGTGACAAGCGCAGTCACGGAAAGTCTAATACAACACAAGACATACCACAAACTTTTCACTAGATACTAAATAGAGTGCACGCACTAGACCCGTGAACAATAATACGTACTTATTAGTACTATTTTATACAGAACACTTTGTTTTCTATTGTTTAGTTATTACTAAAAGTTAGTATTTGTTTCACGGGTTTAGTGCAAGCGCTCTAGCTCCCCATGCCTCTAAAATTCCCCTGGACAGAATTATTACGAAAATCCAAGAACTTCATTTGCATTTAAGAATATTTTAATAAATAAATGTTACATTCATTTTGTTTTTATAATCATATGCAATATTTACAGAAAAAAATATATTTTACACCAAAAAATCTAAAAATCCTTAAATGTTTATGAACACAATCATCAGATTATTTTGACTTTATTAATGAGTATTTTTTGTGAATTAAAAAAAAAGCTTTTTCAWTTTTTTAGTGTCTGATTCTAAGGTAGGTTTTGAATAAAGCAGTCCTAGCTAGCCTTGTCAGCAGGACTTTTTTCTTCCCACTAAAGAGACTGAAAGTAAAAAGTCTTCACTCGCAACGAGAAGACCAAAAGAGAAACAAAGCAAAAAGATACTACGAGACACCATATTTAGAACATAAGCTTTTCAACTATAATTAGTAGTGGACTAGACCTTGTGACTGATCAAAATAGGCCCTTTGTAAAAATAGTTCACAAGCCCCTACCTCCATAAAAACAGATGTTGTGTCAAAATGAACACAGAAATCGAAAGAGCACCTCAATATTAGTAAGAAAGCAAAGTTTTAGCTTATAATGTTGACTAAAGTAAAAATGGCATTAAATATAAAATTGAATATTTTATAAGGATTTGTACGGGAATATATGATGGATGGCATAGCTTGCCATCCAGCACATTTCCCCATACAAACCCTTATAAAATATTCGATATTGTATTTAATGCCATTTCATAAGCTGAAACTTTGCCTCCTTACTAATATTGAGGTACTCTTTCCATTTCTTGTGTTTATTTTGACACAATCTCTTTTTACGGGGGTAGGGTCACGTGACGTGTTGTTGCAAATGGCCTATCCACTAATTATTATTGATGAACATCCTATGTAATGTGTGCAGGGACTGCTTGTAATAATCAGACACTAATATATTTTGTCTTTAGTATACACAAATATGATGGGACAAGACAAACAAAGCAATAATATACTGAGAAATATTGATTACGAGGCCTAGTCTACCAAGGATTGACAAAACACCTATATAATGTGTGCATGCATGGTCTACTGTTAATGCTAATATTTGTCTTCAGGACTATCACAAATTCTTATATTGGCCAAGCTACTATACAGATATTCCCATTAGTGATAGCCCACAAGTAGGAAAATAATGGCCCTTTTTGAAATTTCAGCTATTTACAGTTCTACTATTTATTTTGCTCATACTAAAACAAACAGACCTTTTGCTCGATATAGAATGTGCAACAACTCCTCATGCAATGTAACTGTGCAAGCTACAAAGCAATTAATTTTCAAGGCATTTTTTTTTGATTACCACAAAAAAAGGTTTGGGAGCTGCACAAATTTGTTGTCTGTCTTACTGCATCTTGAGTTATTTAGCTGCTTGTCAATATTTATTGGTCAGAATTCGTATGATATTATCTAGATTCAATTAGTACTGGCACAGTGGTTCTATAATCACCATTTGCCTCTCTTGGCCCAGTCCTTTGGTGTCCAATGCAAACAATTTGAATCTATTCTTATTTTTCTCTTGGCCATAGCACGTTTGTGGCCCTCAAGCACCTCATTGTTTAGACTTAGAATGTATTGTCCCTTGTAATAGTGTATCAGTCCCAAGTGTTGTAAAGTAGATACGACATCTTCTTTTCTTATGCTGGTAAGCTCACAGATCTCACTGAAATAAAAAGCAGAAAAGATGAGATGAGCATTGTTTGATTACTTTATAGAGTGTCCTGATCAATCAAATGGCAAAATATTATTATATATTAAGCCTTTCCATAGTTAAGAATCGATTCCACTGCACATGTGATTTTATCCCGAATTTCTCACCTTCTTTTGTCTAAACCGTCTTTTGCTCTTAAACAAAAGAAGGTGAGGAATTCGGGAAAAAATCGCATGTGCAGTGGAATCTATTCTTAAACTATGAAAAGGCTTATTGAGTAATGCATCTTGAAGATATCAAGGTATATACTTCCATTATGTTAATGAGTGTGAAGTCATTAATTTGAGTTTCTTTGTCAGCAATAATTGTAAATTGAATCACTTGGTACATGTATATGAGAAAACGAAATTGTAATAATCTTTCTATAAAACTTAGTAAGACAATGTTTTATACAGGATATTTTGCTGCTAAAGGAAAGTT